CAAGTGGCTGAGCAAGAGAATGAAATCATTTCTCAAATGTGAGGCCTAATGGTTTTTGACTAGGCTTGTGTACAGCACAAAATTAATCATTCATTATGGATAAAAAACCAATTTAAAATTCTCTCTTTTGTTTGCTTTGGTACTGAAAATCCATTTGTGCAAATAAGTATCAAATTCTAGGCTGTACTATTTGGGACTCTATTTAAAATGCGTAATAATAAACCCATGTCATGATTTTGGCTTCTGCTCTTTTTCTAAGTTGCTGGGAATTTAAAAACAGGACAAAAATGAATCAAAAATACCAAATAGTCTTTTTACATCCAAGCATCCTTCTTTACACACATGAATCTCCGGGCTGTTCTTCCAACATAATTTTAAACTGAAATCTGTTCATACCTGTAATGGTAAGTAATAAACATAATCAACAGTCCAAAATGAATACTAGAGAATAGCCTATATGGACTAATTCTGGATTTCCTGGAAGAGAAAATACAGCATTTTTTTCCCCCTCAGTTTTTCTTCTTTCTAACACCTTTTAAATTTACAGTTTCCTGGTACACTTTTCTGCAGCACATCTCATTTTTTCTGTGTGAAAAGAACTTCTGTAAATGATATTCATCTCTTGAGTCCTATGAAGATATGAAGGGAAAGATATATCACTTTCCATTTTCAAATATTTTCTTCTTTTACCTGTGCCTGGAAGAAGACTGCTTGCAACTTGCTATGAACAGAGCAGAAGTGTGTTTACTGTGCTTGAGGAAGAAAGTCGAAACAAAACCAGCATCAGTTATAGGAAAAAATATTCTTGATATGTTTGGTAACTGCAGGATTGAGTTTACATACTTGACAAATGAGTAGGGTGCATAAATGTCACCAAAAAGGGACTTGCCAGGGTCTACTGACTAATCCTTCAGTTCTTTAAATGATTTTTTTGTTCAATATTATGTCTACCTGGAATAAAAAAGTAAAAATAGGCCCACATTCAATTAAACAATTAAGTTCGTACTTAAAATAACCATACACTTCAATGTTTTTGGTGTGTTCTTCACATCTGCAAGACTGATCCAGACTGTTGAATTTTGATATAAGTTATAATGACAGGGAGTGAGCAGATAGGACATGTATTAATTCTGCTGATGAATGAAACCCACAGAGCTGTAGTCCTAGTTCTTACACAAATTTCTGAACTGCAAAGGAAAATAACATAAATATAAGAGGATTAAATACACTTTGTATATTTGTTTTAAAGATGTAATCTGTATTATACCAGTTATCGAAATTATCAGATCTCAATTTTTTCTGAGGAAGCAAAGGAAATAAAAGGCATCAGCTAACAGGAAATGGGGTTCTCGGTTTACCACCATCCTTCAGAGGTGATAATAATTAAATGCTGTCACAGCATCCATAGCTCCACTGTAGAATCTCCATCATCAGAGTCTTCAAATAAAAACTTTTATTTATTTATGAGCAGGCTGTATACAGAGGTGGCCATCTTTTATCAGAGGTCAGGTTAGAGCTTCCAACCTTAATACCTATACATTTTATAACATTTTCTGTAAAGATGATCAGGGAACATTACGGGAAAATAATAATTTTGTGTTAAATTATATAGCAGTGTCTGTAAAGTGTCCCTTAAAAATGCATCCAACTAAAGCGGTATTATCAATTTGAATGTTTTGAGCTATTTTTAAACTCCTTTTCAGATATAATTCCTTTTAATAGAGCCTTGAATATTTACTTGAAACATGCCCAAGTCCATAGAGAAGAACAAAAGCAACCAACTTCAATTTATCCTTCTTCCCTTTTCTCATATTTCATGCCACACCCTCTCCAAGATCATATTGGTTGCTAATAACAGGATTGGCAGACACCCTGCTGCATGGCTTATGGAAAGGGCATATGTCACCAGCAAACACAGAACTGAAGTTTCATGAGCTCAAGTCAAGTGCATACAGAAAATAAACTTTATCTGGTTTGTTTCTTTCTTGTTGCAGCATCTTCTTGTAACTGCCTGTTTTGCAAATATAATTCTCAAGTTGACATTATAATTCTAATTTGGAATTCAGGGGATTTCTAGTATTTGGTTTTGAGTCTGTTGGTTCATTCTTTTCACATTACTAAGATTAATGTGAAAACATGAGTATAGATCAAATAGTTTCTTCAGCTGTGGAAATGTCATGGAAGATTGTATCACTATAACAAAACAGAAAGAAAAACGAGAACTGTTAGGTATTATTATTACACTAATTTAGTGCTAAACTTTCATCTAAAGATAGTTTCTGTACTATTCAGTAAATTCTGTACAACAGGTTTTGCCAAGTGAACTTTTTCCCTCTATAACATTAAATCCTGAGAAGTTTGTCATTTAAACGGTTTTTCTGATTGAAACAGATCTTTGTTCCTGTTGAAATGAGTGATAAAATTTCACTTCACTGGGGCAGGACAAAGCATAAACTAGTGAGATGGAAAATAGTGTGTGGTTTAAAGTTAAAAAAAAATTACTATGTATTTTTTTTTACTTGAATAGCATTCTTTTAAAGTTGTCCTGGGATTTACAGACATACTTTTGCTATTTCTTTTAAGTATATTGACTAATCTTAATACTTCTGTCAATCAGCTTCAGTTCAACTAGAAACAATACACTAAGGATACCTGTTCAAGTCTGTTGGTTGTAACAACATCCTGTCCATTTTATATTATTAGTTGGTTTTATCTCCTGTGCACATATTTAGGTTGATATTTAGTAAATCAGTTTTGCAGATTATGACAAGGAGTTTGCTTGTCTGCCTGGCACTTCCTCTTGATAATTGCATATTAATTTCTTCTTTATGTGTAGGATATGATGCTTCAGCTGTTTCGGGGACTGGATTTTCTGCATTCGCATCGTGTGGTGCATCGGGACCTGAAACCTCAAAATATCCTTGTAACCAGCAATGGGCAGATAAAGTTAGCTGACTTTGGCCTTGCAAGAATCTACAGTTTTCAAATGGCTCTTACCTCAGTGGTAAGTTCTCAAGGCTTTTTTTTTTTCTTTTAACCTAGCAGAGTGAACTATCTCTACAACTGAAGTTACTTGTGTCTCTGAAAAAAATTACTTTCCAACCAGGAATGAAGTTGTGGTTACGTTGTACAAGTAATTGATTACTGATTGCTGGCTCTAAATTAAATCATGACTGATTAGTGAAGGATAGGTATGTGCTAGTTTTCTGAAACTCCATCAGTCAAGCTTCTGTAGTGACTTCTTTTGTACATTAAGTCAGACAGGTAGAGTTGAAGTTTCTGATCCCGAGGTATCTTGCCGCACTGTCATGCTCTGATTTTCCACCTTTGTGAATATGGATTCAGTGCTTCCTTCTGTATGTTACTGAATGATTCCAAATAGAGCTGTGCTGGAGGAAGCTCGAGTGGACCTGGCAGCCAAAATCACAGCTATTTCCCAAGCTAGCTGTTCAAGAGCACCCCCAGCATCACTAGGACCCCTGCCACTAATGCCCCTCTCCCAGCGGCTCTCCTGGTTGTCCTTGGCTCAGACATGAGGTCACTCACAGAAGGTCGAGCTCTCTCCTGCATTAATGCTGAAGATGCCCTGCTAGCTCCTCACTTTTTGACCCCATTTCCATATTTGCAGGCCCTGCCCCCCAGTCAGCTGCTGTTAGTTTGGGACAGCATCTCTGAAGCATGTTGAAGAGCAGCCATGCTGTGTGCGTGTTTGGTATCATTTAGGTTTGTTGCCTGCTCATGATTTTTTTTTGCTTCCATTTTCTATTCTGAATATCACAACTGCCATGACAGTATCACTTACGATAACAACAGAAAATGGAGAACTGCTAAGAAAAGAAACTGAAAGGATGCTCTTTGCATTTTACATCATATTGTAGAAGTGAGCCTGCCTCATGTTGATAAAAAGCAATTTATTCTTATTATTAGTTACTACAGGGGTCTTCCCATTGTTATGTGATGCAGCTATGGACACTTGGCTTCAGTGTGAATGAAGGCAGGAAGCAACAGAAAATTATATGATCATTTTACTAAGCATAGGAAAGTGTCCTTGTCATATAAAGCATATGTAAACCTGTGTTTTGGGACTAGGTTTTTTCATTGCCTGTAGGACTTAGTCTAATTCAAAGCTGGAGGAATCTGTTTGCTGAGATCAGTGAAGACTGATCATGTAGTACCTCAAAACAGAGCTTTGAAGAAAACGAGAGAAAGGTTCTTCCTGAATTGACATAATTTTTTGTTTCCCAGTTACCAGTAGCAGCTTCAATTGATCCATAAAATTATTTAAGCTAAAATTGCAGAATATTGTTAGTTTTCCAGCAGGATGTTTTTGAAAAGTTCTTCATATAATAAGGAAAAAATATCTACAGAACGGAGCAGGAGTTTGCCCATGATCATGTAGCCTTCATAGGAAGGAAGGTCAAAAGAAATAGAGTGCATCTACCATGGCAAAAGACCTGCTTGTAAGAAAACATTGCCAGAATTACTTTCTAAAGGATGTACATGTACTCAAGTATCCAATACTTGCATGCTAGAAATCATGTTTTAAAACCCATTAGCTAGTACCCTTGGCATTGCTGTGAACAAGAGTTGCTCAGACTAAAGGATTATCTACATGAAAGTTTGTACTGTGTTCACATAAGCATTCCGGTGTCATTGCAGTTATGCTAAAGAATATTAAAATAATTGAATCATTCAGTGACAAAGGATAATCAAGTATTAAAAACCATTGGCCATGGCTTTTTTAAGTTAAAAATTTATTGTTTTAACACATTTAGTGTTTAGCACCTTCAAAATAAACTTTTGTCTGGGTGTGTAGAAACTTACACAGGAGTGTTGCTTAGAATGTGATAAATGTGGTATGGTTTTAAATGTCAGTCTTCATTGCTTCTACAGACTGATGGTCAGAAACTTGTACTAAATGTGTATTAGGCATCAGTTTTTCTTTTCTGATTTTAACTTTTACCTTTGTCTACCTGTTTGGGTGTGCAAATTCTTCTTTTTTTTTCCCCCTCCGATGAAACTCAGTACAGAAAACAAAACTAAAAAAAATCCAACAAACCAAAACTCCCAAATTTCTGGTTTTTAAACTTGAAGACATTCTTGATTTTACCATTCCTAAAATAGTGTAAATTGTAGTTATTCACCAGGAAGTGAGTAAACTTTCATTGACTACAGCAAGACCAGTTTTGTTTTGAACTGTTTGCAGAAAAAAAACATAGCATTATAAAAGACATTATAAAAGCTAATAAAATCCTATCTTGGAAAGTGATAGTGCAGACAGCCTAGTGATAAAAGGCCCATTGCATGTGCTATAATTGTGATTGATAAAAGGGCTCTGCAGTGTTTCCTTCAGAAGAGAACCTTACTGCAAGATAAACTACAAGAATCATCTTTTGAAGTGTCAGATCGTTCCCAAGATGCATCCTCATTCATTGCTCACAAAGAAACTCTTCAGATGGGAAAAAAAGAGCTTGCCATGAAAGTAATCCAGTAAAAACTGATCCAGCCCAAGTGCTCTGGATGCTGCAAATGGTAACTTCAAAGCAATCTCTCTCTAACAGCCAGTTATTTACACAATGCTAAAGAATCCTTCTGGCAGACTGGTTATCCAGGCATATTGCTGTCATTTAAAGAAACCTCTTGATATTTCTATCAGTGAATGAATAAAAGATTCAAACAAATGTTATGCAGGCTTGGGGGGGGCAGGGTGGAGATCACTGCTCCCAGCTGTGTTCGAACTGAGAACTGATATGGGTCTGAAATAACAGCAACTAGAAAGAATGAGGTCGGGCGGGGGTATCTCAGATGGTGGGTAATAAGGCATGCTTTTGGTTTCATACAAAGTTAGACTATTTTTCAAGTGTTGGTCTTGGCCCTTGGGGAAATTTTGAATAGGCTTTGTGGTAACAGAGAAGCTCTGTAGGACAGAGGAGGTGGATTGATGTGACTGTAATTTTAGAGCTTGATAGCAAAAGCTAATGAACTGTCACTTTTTTCCTGGTGCAGAAAAATAGGCACTTCATTCTGCCTTTCTCTGAGCAAAGGAGCAAGTGGGTGTCTGGAAAATCTGAAGTTGTATTATGAAAAAGAAGTAATCCATTTATCTATTTCTATTGACTTCTAACTGCCTTAAAGAAAGGAAATGAAGCTGAATCATTGCATACAAGAATGTTAAGTGAGATAAGTACACACAACTGTGATCACGGCATCTAGGTGGAGCTGAAGCTGTCCAGCTTTTAAAACCTGGCCAGCATCAGGATCTTGAGTGAAACTACCAAAATGTTAAGCATTTGTAACACACAATACTTTCTTTGAAAACATATGTGATTTACCACAGGTGTAACTTAGGTGCAACTGAGCTGCACTTAGGTGCAACTCATGAAATTCCAACAAAATTGATTTATGTCTTCCTTTTTAAAAAAACTCACTTGTTTTCAGATTTACCCAGCATTAGATGGGAAAACGCATCACTTTCTCTGCTGATGCTCTAAGTTGTTGAATACTAGACCTGGCTAAATAGATTTTTAAAAAGAGAAGACACAAAAAATCCTGCAGCTGCTATCAGTAAATAATTTTATATTATGCTAGCATTTTATTTCAATGTTTCTTCAGGATAAAAACTTTCCATTTCTGGCAGTCACTTCAGTGCAAATGGTTTACATGTCACATCATGCAGGAACTTGGATTTCATTTTGTTGTTATAGTAGCAAGGGAGCATAAAATAATTTTTGCTAACTGGCTTACTTTGTAAATATAAATATATAAATTAGTTACAGCAACAAAAACAGCAACAAAAGAAGATAGAAAAAGCCTCTTTCAAAGAGGAATGAGTACTTCCCTGTTTTTTGCCCACTGTTTGATTGTAGTTTTCTAATAAATGCCACCTCTTAGTAAATAATGTAAATGTTAACTCTTGTCTGAGCCAATATGATTGATGAGAGCCGATGCAAAGAACTTCTTTTGCGTTGCCTTGGTTTTGTCTCTTTTTTTCCCTTTTTTGTGGTCACCGCTTCCTGTGCTTCCCAAAATCCACATATTTATTTGCATGTCATATACACCCTGCACAGCCCATTCCTATGTTGGATATGTTCCAGCAGACCAGGAGTGTCTTGCAGAGCAGCTTTAACCTGAGATACGTTGACTATCCCTAAATGGACCTGATTTGGCAATCTATTTAAAGTTCACAGTTATCATCAAACACAGGAGGAGACCTGTGGAAATTAGGCAACCACCTGCCACTGGTTAAACTAAGTGAAAATGTGGGCTATGTTAAAGAGTGTCCTAATGATATTGGTATGGTGATACTTGATTTTGTTTCATACATGATTTGATAAGAGCATAACTCATCCTCCCTCTGATAGGTGGAAGTGACATTGTTTTGGTATGCACTGAGCCTTTGCTGTTGTGAGATTTAGGCCCTCATCTCCAATTCTTTCATTATGGTGCATTTTTCCAGTCCACCCAAATGTTCCTGAAAAGGAAAATGAGTCACAGACAGACATCCAGTGGATCAAAATATGTGGTTTTGAGCTTGTCAATGCTGTTGCTGCGAGTTTGAGGCTATTTAGGAATGCAGTATGATTAAAATTATTGGCTTATTGTTATACACAGTTCTGTATAACAAGTCCATGTATCTGGCTTTGTGAAAAAAAGTTACTTTTTCTGATATTTTAACATCTGGAGGGATCTTTATTGCATCCTCCCAACACCCCGTAGGAAAGTTATTTCCATCACATAAAATGAGTCATATATCTCTGGAGTCATCTTAGGAACTCAAATCATTATTGGCACATTGACAGTAAAGTCTGCAGCTGGCTAAAAACATTTTTATATATATTTATGATGCTGTCACTCAGTTCAGATGTTCCCTAAGAGGGCTCAGAATTATATGAAAATAATGACAAAACAGGTTGTTCTCTGTCACAATATTAATCAAAGGGCAATATGGAAATATATGTGGACAGAAATAGCAAATTAGAAGTTTCTTATATTCATCTGCATTAT